GTTCATTTCATTCCTTTACTTTCTAATTCATTGCTAGGGACTAGCAATATTTAAGTTTGAGGGTGTGATAAGCACTGAAAAGTACGTATTTAAACTCCTTAAGCTTAGGTATTCTAGGACCTTTATCTATCTTATTCTACCGTTTTGTATTGATTTCGTGTTATTTCCATTTTCAGGTACTTATCCCCAAAATAAGCTAACTTAGCCAAATAAGAGCATAATTGAAGCAATTCTGGGATGAATCAAAGAAAGAAGCAAAGTAGAGCAAAAGGAAGTAAAGGGTGGAATTTCAGCAATTTTGATCGATCTCAAGAAAAGTTCGATCGATCCAACTTTCATCGATCTCAGCACTTCAAGATGGATCTAAGCTATGTTTGTTCCTATTCAAAAATCTCAAAGTTCGATCAATCCAACCTCATTCTATGATTGATCGAACCATCTTGTCCTTACCCAAATGATTGATCTTATCCAGTTGTACCACCCTACCAACGACTTTTGTCTTTTTCCCAAAAATATCTTCAAAATATCTCAGATTTGTTTTTATCCAAAAAGGAGCCGCCATTGAGGATCGATCCAACTTAAATTCGATAGATCTTAGCCATGTTTGATCGATCGTACCTTAAGTTCGATCGATCGAACCTCCCAAATCCCGAAAAAAATCTAAATTCCAGCTCATTAAAAGTTGTCTCATATCCAATCATTAGAGGACCATTGGTGTACGAGCCCGCTCATTTGGGGTGATTTTTGACCTACCTATATAAGGAATATGAGCCACTTTTTGATGGGGCCTTTTGATATACTTTGATACACATACTTAGTGAGGGAAAAAAGAAGAGGAGAAGGTTAGAGACACCATTGGAGACTCTTCATCAACCAAGGAGCAGATTTCTTCCATGGAGCTTGCCCTTGAGGATTGGAGGACATCATCTATGAGTGGTTAGACATCCTCTTGGGGCTAGAGTTAGCCCTAAGTATACTTTCGACTTCCTGATTTATGTATTTTTGAGGGGATTTGTATTGTGATTCATGTCTTGACACTTTTATATATATAGATCTTGTTTATTCAATGATTTATATGGTTTAATGCTTCCAATTGATCATTTCATTCTATCCATATGTCTATGTATGCTAGAATAGATGTTCATGTGTTTGTCTCTATTTCTTGTGTTATTGATGCATGTTTATGTGTATTGAGGTTATAGATCTAGAGATTGTCAAGACATAATGCGTAATGTCATGTTCTTGTGGTTTATTTGACGGTTCATACTCATTGTTTGATGGATTGTACCTCTTCCTTAGTTTAATTAGTTTAATTTCATGTCTTTAACTTAGTTGTAGTGTAGTTGTAAAATGGGAGGACAATTCATGCTTGTTGTTGATGTTCCATACTTATGAAAGCGAGTAGCATATATCTCTAACCTTGTGATGTGTTTGGTTGTGTGTTTAAAGAAAGGATTAATGGCTTAATTTGATATATTGTGCTATTCACCATGTTGTTTAGACAATAAATGCTTAATTTGTCATCCATGCTTGTTGGAACAACCACACGCACACACTTTGTTGCAATACATGTTCTTCCCCTCATTAATCATTCATTAAAGGTGTAGAAAAACTATACTTAGTGGTAATCTCTAAACCCCAAGATCTCTATCTCTTTTTTCTCTCTATTGCATTATTGTTTACTTTAATTTAAATTGCATCTACTTTAATTCAACCAACCAACCACTATTTTGATCACTCGACCTACTAACCCTAATTTCGATTCCTTAACCTAGTACGACTCTCAATCCCTTGGAATGATCCTTACTCAACCTACCTATATTTTTAGTGAAAGGTAGTAGTGGCAATTTCTAAATGTAAAATTTGACCACATTGCATAAACTTTGGGTTCAGAGTGCGACAACCACACCAAGGAACTCTATACAAATTCATCCATTTAGATTATATATAAGCCTCTTTGAGTAGGCAACAAGTCGGAAGTAATGCATTTGATTGGTGGAAATTTGATAGATTCCGGGCGCGCTCGAGAATTCAACAGCACACTGCCAGCAGTCATTTCGATCGATCCAACACTTGTTTTGATCGAACAGAGCTGACGTGGCAAAGATATTTTGACACCTGACAACTTTATCTATTGAGCTGGCACCGCCTTGATCTCGATCGATTGTAGATATCTTCGATCGATCGGGACTTCCTTTTTAGATCTTCTCCTTAGTACAAAGTTGAGCTAAGAGGCTCTTTTTAGCATGTATGAATTTTATTGACCTGAAATAGATAAAAATATAAATAAATATTAAAATATGAAAGGAAAATATATGGATAAATTAAAATACCTTAAACTTATCAGGTAACTTTCTAGAATTTTCGCATGCATCAAAGATTCGCTCAGCACTCACCACAACACCGTCCCATCAGCCGTAGTAATTATTCCCACATGGTAAGAGAAGAAAAAAATGATCAATCTATCACCATAACCAGTATATATAATGGGTACTGACACCTTGTGATCCTTTATTTATCTTAAAATTTTTATTATTTTTGTGAAACTTAAAACAAAGGAGGCAATATTGACCTTGCATAACTTTTATGTAAATTGAATGGTTGATTATGATTTCGCATAAGGAGTTTTGATGATAGTAATTTATGCTTTGATGAATATTAATATTATTGGGTGTAATGTTTCAAATGATTGAACTTATTAATTAAATTCTTTAGGGGGACCTATATTAAACTCCTTTTTTTATTTGTATTTTGCATTAATTTTATTTATTTTTATTTATTTATTTATTTTTACCTAAAAAACCTCTTTAATTATCCAAAGAGATGACTTAGCAAATGGATGTTAGCTAAAAAGGAACTGAAATAGTAATTGACTTAAATACCTATTAAGTCTATTTGAAAATTTACTTTGTAGTGCGTCTTTATTTTTTTATTATTATATAACCTAAATGATATTATTGTCGAAACTAACACTTCTATTGTGTGTTTTTTTTTTTTTTTTTAATATGTTAACATTTTACTAGAGTGTCAAGTTCACATTAGTCACATGGAGGGAATGGTTTTTTTTTTTTTTTAAGAAAAAAACTATTTTGAAATATATATATATATATATATAAAGAAGAAGAAAAACATGTAGGCATAAATACTATAAAAAAAAATAATAATAATAGGAATTATTTCTCGTAGTGTCCCTTCAACAAATCTATATAAAATGAAAATTAATAAAAATCAAAGAAATGAATGCACAATATAATTCTCAAAATATATATATATATATATATATACACAGTAGATATTTTTCAAGGAAAAACCCAGATTTTTATAAGTTTGAAGGCTAGATGGAACAACAAATACATATAATATAAATAATATTTAATGGAACATATTATATATACCATTATATTATGATACATATTATATATAATATTATATTATGATACATATTATATATAATATTATAATGTTATATATAATAAATATATATGTATATATATGATTGGTAAATAAAAAAGTTGAGCAAGAAGAAGAGTACATGTTGCTGCAATGGTAGAGGATATGTAGCTAAGAGTGATAATAGAGTAAATATATGTGGGGTTATTAAAATAGGTATAGGGACATTTTTGTCTCAAAAATATATGAGAAAACTCAATGTCTAAACAACTCCTTTTTAGTTAACTTCTGTCAGTTAAATCATCCCCCTCATATAGTTTAGAGGAGTTTTTTGATAAAAAAATAAAAATAAAAAAAAAATAGAAAAAAGAAGTTTAGTGCAAAACACAAATAAAAAAAAGAGAGTTTAATGCAGTTCACCCAATTTTTTAACTACTTGCAATAATCCATATTATTTTTGAAGTTATACAGTGCATTGGATCTTTGATATTGTGAGAAATTTAATCAAAGAGCAGAATTTAATAAAAAATGAGAACTCAACATGATAAACAAAATAGACGTTATTTGTTGTAGAAACAAATAAAATGGCAGGTTATATTATATATATAACTCTTTATGAGAGAACAGTCCTAAACTAGAGTTTAAGATAAATGAGGAGAGCAAGGAGCATTGAAGCAGAAAATAAGGAGAGAAGGGTAGTAGTTTAGTCATTTTGTTTAATAAAATAAAAAGTTGGAGTATTAGAGAAAGTTGATGGAATGCTAATATTAGCTCCCAAAACAAATTCACATTCATCTTTCATAACATGTCACTGATACCATGTGATGAATAGTTATTATTATATATATATACATATATATATATATATATAAACAGGTGGAGGCAATTAAAGTACTTTTAGTAAGGTTCTTGAAATGTGAATGATAGATAAGGAAGGAATCTTTAGTTTGATAAATGTGTATTTTTTTTTAACTATATAGATATATATATATATATATGAACAATATTTGTATGAGTAAGTCATTTCTACTATGTGATGAAATAACAAATTACAAAATCAATAAAGTAATAAATAAGAAAAATAACTATTTTTAGAATAAATTCAGTCATTTTTTTATTTCTTTATTTATCACTTTCATAATTTTGCAACACTGTGCATTTGTGATTGAATCACGTTATTGATTAGTAGGAATCTACTCATTAGTGAATAGACAAGAAATGGTCATTGATTAGCAGGAATCTACTCATTAGTGAATAGACAAGAAGTGTAAGTTATATACATTGGCACACCTTCCTTTTTTAATATCAATTACAAATGTGTGATAATAATGGCAATGATATTTTTTCTCATATCATGGTAAGTTTTAAAATCGTTAATACCTTTTCACACCAAGAAAGAGTAATTAATCAAAATTTCGTTACACTTTAAGGTCTTTTTTCAATTAATAAGTCATATACACACTATATGTATGTGTATTTTATGCCCGAGACACACACACACACACACATAAATATATATATAATTTTATTTTTTGTAATAGGCTGTCCGAGCCTTGCTCTGACTCATTCACCAAACTATGTGTGCAGAGTGTCTTATACAAATCTGGTAAAATTCAAACTATATCTCCTAAAGAAATTTTTACAAGAGGAATCCAACGTGCTCCACGACCAACCAGTGGTAAAGTTTATTATGAACTCAGCCAACCATTGAGGATACCTATCTATGTATATTGTCAGCATAGTGTCAGCATGTGTACGTGTGTGTATATATCTCTCTTGTATTCCCAAACTCATAGCTCGTAAAAAATTAAATTGAAACTTGGATAGTTTAGACAGACACCACCACCACCACCATTGATGGCCACCCGTGTTGTCTCTCCCAAACTCCTCCACAACCTCCGGTACTTCACCAGACCTTTGAACTCTGCTCCACCTTCAATCACCGCCGTCTCCCCGCTAAACCTCCACGAACCACCTCCACCACCACCCACCACCACTACTGCCACCTCCACCGACTCAATTCTCAATCTGGACGATGTCAAGGAGCTCTTCTCCTCCCTTTCCACCGCCAAGCTGCTCCGATCATCGGCCAACCTTCACGCGGTGGCGATGGAGCAGACGGTGGATGTGGGCACGTGGGTCATGAACTCCGGGCTCATGGACATGGCTGTGCTGCGTGAGATCGTTCTCGGGACTCTGAAACATACCCTTTGTGAGCATTTCTGTGCGGGTCAGAGTCCGGAGGAGGCGGGTCGGACTGTCCTGAAGCTTCGGGAGGCTGGTCTGAGAGGGATGTTGGATTACGGGTCGGAGCACTCAACGGATATGGAGTCATGTGATCGGAATTTGGAGGTGTTTGTTCGGACGGTTGAATCAACCAAGTCACTCCCACCATCTTCTGTAAGCTTTGTAGAGTTTCTAAATCAAGGAAAAAAAAAAAAAAAGTCAAACTTTTCATTCACTGCCAAAAGTTAAATTTTTCTTTCTCAATTTCATAAGATGATTCCTTTTCAATTGGATTTTTTCTTTCATTTTTTCAATTTCATATGAATTTTCAATTTTATTTATTTATTTTAAAGATACAGAAGTATTCTTAAAAATCGATTCAAAGGTGCCCTTAATTATCATTTCCATAAGATCCCCAAGACTAACAAGAACATGAGGATGACTATTTTCTGAAATTCAAATATTAAAAAATGAGGTGACTCTGCTTTACCCAAAGACTTAAAAGACTTTACATAATAGTGGTCCCATTAGATAAGAGACCAACTTTAATTTTTATATTATATTATTTTAAATTTTAAGGAAAAGTGTATATTTTCATACCTTTTGCTCCCGGTAAATTAGGGTGACAGGGACTCAAACACATATAACACTTTCACAAATCTAACATCATTTTGCATAATTTTGATGTTATTGAATATTTAATAAGAAGTTTGTCACCACAATTTATCCTTTTTTGGTATATAATTTTGAAAAATGCAACAAACATGAGAAACAATCACCTATCCAATGAATTATAGAAATTTTCTCTGCATATGTTTTAAAATTTTGCATTGACAATATCATAAATGTTTAAAAGAATTAAAATGTAAATTTTATCCCACAGGTTAGCTTTGTGGTAGTGAAGATCACTGCAATTTGTCTTCCTAGTCTGCTCAAGAGAGTGAGTGATCTACTGAGATGGGAATACAAAGACAACTCTTTCAGTCTTCCATGGAAGCTCAGAACTCTCCCAATTTTCTCCGATTCGAGCCCTCTTTATCACACACCTCAAAAACCAGATCCTCTAACCCCACAAGAAGAGCAAGATCTCAACTTAGCTCATCAAAGACTACTCAAAATTTGTCAAATGTGCCAAGAAGCCAATGTGCCCTTAATGGTCGACGCAGAGGACACATCGATTCAACCTGCCATCGACTACTTCACATACTCTGCCGCGATCACCCACAACAAAGATGACAACCCGATCGTTTTCGGGACAGTTCAGGCTTACCTGAAAGATGCAAAAGAGAGATTGTCACAAACCACAAAAGCTGCAGAGAGAATAGGAGTACCTATGGGGTTTAAGTTGGTCAGGGGAGCTTATATGTCTAGCGAAAGGCGGTTAGCTGCTACTCTGGGTGTTGAGTCTCCCATTCACGACGGCATTCAAGAAACGCACGCGTGCTACAATGGCTGCGCCTCTTTCATGCTCGAGAAGGTCACGAATGGCTCGAGTTCAGTAGTTCTTGCAACCCACAATGTTGAATCAGGTAAAAATTGATCAAACACATCTTTTTAGGGTTAAGTTTTTGGGGAGACTTGACGGTAAAGTTGCTCCATTATAACTCAGTGACCAAAGTTGCTCCGTGTGGATGGACAAGGTTAATGTGCGCAATTGGCCCCACTGAATATTTTTCAAAAAAATTGTCTTTACTGAAATTACAGAAAAACCCTACAATTGCCCCCCTCTCCCACAACATTTTGTATCTTCTTGTTGTTAAAAGCCCCCTCACATAATTTTTTAGGTCAGGTGACTTAGACCCTGCATGCAGAGGTAAGGTTGCATAAATCTTATCCTTCGTAGACTACGCAATGGCGGGAGCTTCGTGCACGAGACTAGATGAAAATAACAAAAAAAGTCGGGTATTAGTAGGTATTGATTTGATTTAACATGTGAATTGGTGATGGTTGGTAGGGAAATTGGCAGCAGCAAAAGCAGTAGATTTAGGTATTGGAAAGGAAAATCAGAAGCTGCAATTTGCTCAACTCTATGGAATGGCAGAAGGGCTTTCTTTTGGTTTGAGAAATGCAGGTTTTCAAGTTAGCAAATACTTGCCATTTGCACCTCTGGACCAAATTCTGCCTTACCTTCTGAGGAGAGCTGAAGAGAACAGAGGACTCTTGTCTGCTTCAACCATTGACAGACAACTCATAAGGTAAATACACACACACACGCACGCACACACAAATCAACAGGACAAAAAGTTGATTTGGTTTTGATGTTTTTTTTTTTCAACTTTTTCTTAATGCAGGAAGGAGTTGAAGAGAAGACTAAAAGCTACAATTCTCTAAGGTCAGAAATTAGAGAAAACAAAATTAACTACCAGATGAAGACGATAAATAGAAATTGTACCTACTAAATAAGACAAAAGTCTTTGTGTTATGTCAGTTATTTTAGTGGACCACATTTTCAGATATTTTTCCTTGGAATGTAATATCATATTAAATTATTCCATCCATGATTATCCAAAATCGGAAATATTTCAGTCTCACGAAATTTCTTCGTTTCGCGAAGTTAGTTATAATGTAAAAAGTTGCATGTTCAAAATTTTAGAATAATTATTTTACATTAATAATGTTAATAGTAAGATTGTATCTAACTCAATTTTATGGGGTTACACCCCGTGACAGACCAAGAGATTTGTATGAAAGGGGGCGACTTTGAACAAAAATAATATATGGTGGGGTATCATTAGAAATTGAGTGGGGACATATTTAAAATTTTACAAAAAAGTACAGACATTTTTAAAAATTTTACAAAATCTATAGGTAATTTTGTAAATAAAAAAACATTTCAGTGGGGGCTCCTACCCCTACTGGACACTTCATGGGTTTGTGACTGGACGCACCTAGGAGCGTAGTTTGAGTTTTACTCTATCTTTGAGTAGTGACATGCATCTTGTGAATTAATAGGGATCTAATGAGAGAGAGAGAGGAGATTTGTATCTAATTCGACAATTAACGAAAATTACATTATGTTGTGACCATAGTCATGGACAACATAAAACTCTACTTGGTAGCATGTGAAATGTCAAAAATAGGTAAATGGCACAAGAGTGGAGATTGATTAGCTGGTTGACTCAGTGTTATGAATAGGACAGCATGGTCTCAATTGATTAATAAATATATCACATGTTTCAAGTGTCTTCATTTGACGACGTATTTGATCTTCCTTTTGCAACAAAAAGATAACTGCTGATGCTTTGATGATGTGGAACCAAAATCCTTCAATTAAAAAAAAAACAAAAAAAAAGCGGAGTTTCTATTCTCACTTATTGATTGTATCTAAACATGTACACAAACATATACTTAATCTGCCTCAAAAAAAGATATTTTATTTAAAGAATCGTAACTCACAAATATATATTAATTTCATTCTAAATTAGATATCCTATTTAAGAAATCGTGACTCTTCACAAATTATAAGTCACGATTCTCTAAACAGAACATTTAATTTGGAATAAATGTAATATATATATATATATATATATATATATATATATATTTTGTAAGTGTTCTCTTAGTTTGTAGGCAATCCCAACATGTACGTTGAATTCAACTATGTCTGACACATTTTAGATATTAAATTCATTATAATTATTTATAAAACTAATATTATATAATATCGTAGTTATTGAATCAGAAAAAATAAAAAATAATAATAATAATGAAGAGAATGGGCTTCCACCGACATTTCAGTGTGTCTATTGAGTGGTGCTATATTGCTATGAGCTGTATATGCAAAAGAAAGTCCATTATTTTTCACCAAAAAACAAGCAAAACAGATGGAGACCATAACATGTCTGGGTGGATTTGCTATTTTATTTGTAGCAAGTGACAAGGAGGGTCTCCTTTCTTCTAGCCAGGTCTAGAGGGTTGTGCTCAATTATGCAAGTAAATTTTCATGTAAAAGAATGAAATATTTTCAATAATTCTATCAAGCCTCTCATACCCTATTAATGTTTACTAACAAATACTTATTAAAAGTGCTTTTCTTTTAGGAATATTCATATACATATATATGTATATTTATATATATATATCATATCCATACTCTCATATTAGCTTATGTGACTATGTCTTTAGCCGCTGGATTGTCATGGATCATAAATAACTGAAGACGCAAACTCAAGTCACAATGCACTCATGACAAGCTTACTATTATTTTTTATTTATTTTAATACATGAGGCCAACCAAGTCTTCCAAAAAAAAAAAACCTCACGCACCCATTTCTCCCTTATGGGATTCGGACTTTCACCATCCTTTTTGAGAAGTAAAAGATGTTGGGAATTTTTGATATTTTTATACAATCTCATTTTTAAGTTCATTCACGTAATCATATTAACATGCTACACTTATATATTCATATCACAGTGTAATCATATTACAATAAATATAGTATAAATAAAACAATATACTAAAATAATAGGCCAGTAAAATATATAAAATCAATAAGAGGAGTAAAGAAAATTTTGGCTTGTTTAATGAAGAGGCATGCAGTATGCGCTGTCCTAAAGCCTTTACAGCCTCCCTACGTGCAGGTTGTGACGATTATGAAAGGCTCCGAGATACAACTCCAGTGTCTTTTATAAGCACGTTCACAGAGAGACAAATCACCAAGTCTTTGTGTCATGTTGCCCATAAACTCATATACCTATAATATTTTGGTGGAATGAAATAAAGGTTTAAACAAAAAGAAATATAAAGGATGGAAGCCAAAAACCGTATATAATCTATTACAATAACCATCTATTTATGGGTTAACTCATGTCTCTAGTCAATAGACACAACCTTTATCAGACACATTTTTATATTTACTCACACCTCTTTAATTTAACTCTAAAATGAAGTTTTAAAAACTTTAAATTGTAAAAACCTAACAAAAGAGACACCACTAGACTGCATTGCCTTTCCTAATCTAGTGACATTCTCTCTCTCATACCTGAAGTAGGGGTTGAGGATTCAAGTCCTTCGCTGCAAGGGTGGAAGTTTGAGTAATTCAGACAGAAAAATAAATAAATAAATAAAGTTAATAGCTAACCCTTTAGACTCTTATACGCAAAGAATATGATTTCCACATATTGCAGCATCAGGCTAATTCAAGGTGGAATCAAAAAAAGAATTCAAGCATCCAAGGAAGTTAAGGAACTTGAAAAGTGGAACAAAAATGAACATGAGTGGCCTAGAATTTGATATGGATGTCAATGTCACACCAACTGGGAACCAAATGGCTGAGGAATCACAGGTTTAGTCAAAGTTGTTATGCTATGCTGATTCAAAAGGTGAGAGCATTACATGTTTGGAAAATGACTGATACGTGTGAGGAAGCATCATCTATCACCATCAATGGAATGTCACCGTTGGATGAATCCTGTGGAAGTAAAGATTCAGATTCCCCTGTAGACAAAAGCCAAACGGTAAAGGGACATATGCAAACCTCCCTCACCACCTAACAATATCAATCGTGGTTCTTGCAATTGGAATCTCAAATTCAAGGGACGTGAGCGAAAAATACTAATATATTATGTATATAAAGTGTATAATTTTTTATACGTTTTGAAATTTTTTTAAGAATAAGTAGTGTGAGCGTATTATTTATCTACTTTTTAAAAAATAGAATGCCACATAATTTAAAAAGTGATGATGTGGTACTTTATTTTTTTTTTTCTCCAAAGCACACTCTGTCCGCAGAGAACTCAATAAAGAGTAATTGTAGGGCCCACAAAAAAGGCACTCTACTTGCTTCTACGTACCGACCCTCTCTCTCTACACGGACACACTATCACTCTAATGTCACTTGCGCCGCGGATGCTCTAACATTTAATTTTTGAGCAAATTAGGGTTTATATGCTGAAAGAACTAAAGTGTCTCTCTATAACTAAATAAAAAAGGATAAAAAAATAATAATTAAATGTAAAATGAAAAAAGTGTCCCTTTTTTTTTTTTTTTTTTTTTTTTCCTTCTTATATATAAGGGCATTATTGAAAGAGAAAAGGGTATTTTTGTAATTTTATATCTTAAAAAATGTTATGTACACACATGACTAAATTTGTAACGAAACAGTGACATCAAACATTTCTGTGATAATTTTTTCTCAAACTTAACGCACTTACATACCCAAAAAAAAATTATTTATCCAAAATTTAAAAATTGAGGGTGTTTTTCCGCTTTGCCCAAAATTCATTGAAACTCTGTTCAGTAGATGTCTATTTCAAAGCATTTTATGACACCAGAAATTAGTTGCTAGTTTACCATCAAACACCAAAATGGTCATAAATTGAATAAGGGAAGGCAAATAAGGAATTGAATAAGCATTTTATGGAGTTTCAATTGAAATTTCCCCCTAGCTCCTACTTTACCATAATTTTTATTCCTAAACACATTTTGGTTCTCCTTTAGCATGCCAGCTCCTTTCCATTACCAAACATGGTCCAAACATTATGCAAGTTGAAAGGCCCTTGCAAGACAAGCTCAGGCATCCATTGCAATTCTCTAGGTCCTTGTGAGTACTGTTCCGAATAATTCTCAACAAGAATTTGACTTGTATCCTTTAACAGTACTGACAAGTAGAACATACTAATCAGTGAAGAGTTTGATATTCCACGAGCCCTTGCATTCCATCCCGTCTAGTGTCACTCCACCACCCCTTTAGAGACGGCATCCATGGTAACAGTTTCCCGAGCTCTTTGCTAATTGTACTAGGACTTGATTGACTATCTTTGATCCCAAACTTTTCTCTTTTTATTGCTTCCATTATATCTTCCATTGACACACATTCGCTGCCTGTGAAATCAATAAGACGAGACTACAACTAAATTATTTTATTCAAAAGAGTTTGAATGGAAGAAACTGAAACACGAAGAGTCAAAAAGTTAATAAAGGGAACTAGAAAATTAGATCTGAAATATGTGCACCTAAAGTTGTAGTACTTATGTGTATGGTATGGACAACAAAAATTATACATACAAATGCATACGTATTATATACACACACGTATATACTTATCAAAAAAAATATATACACACACGTATATGATTATCGAAATATTGAGTCAGATAAAGCAACTGCCTGCCGACAAACTACAGTTGAGATTGCACTACTGTAGGTAACAATAACAGAGTAAATACAAGGAGATATCAACTAACCTCTACGAGCAGCAAGTAAAGCGGCTTCATTGGTGACGTTTGCAAGAGCAGCACCTACAAAGCCTTGGGTAACAGATGCAACCCGGTTGCAGATGAGGCCAGTGTCCTCCTCAAGAGGAACTTCTCTCAAATGAACAGCTAAAATTTTTCTCCTTCCAACTTCATCTGGTTCTCCCACATGTACTTTCCTTGAGAGGCGGCCAGGGCGACATAGAGCTGCATCCAATGCTTCTGGCCTATTAGTTGCAGCAATAACAATCACCTTCGTGTCCGAGTTAAAGCCATCCATTTCTGACAACAACTACAACAACGAAAAGAGTTGTGAGAGCCCATTAAAAGCATGAAATTACTATAGAGAAAAACACATTCAGACCAGGAAACCATTACTTAAGGAGTAACAAACTTTGAAAATTGATCAGGAAAATTTTGTTAACCAGAAAAAAGTCAGTGGTAACAAATTTAATTCAGAATATACATTCAAAGGCGGGAACATTTCATCCATATCATAAAATTATTTATTATTATTATATGTTGTTGTTATTTATTAAAATTTTATTGTTTTTTTCAATCCAATCCTTGCCACCGTATTTGCTTTTAACATTTTTAGTTTTTCTTCTTCGGGGTTAGGATTTTTCAACCACCGTTCCTCAACTATGTATCTATTTCAGCAAAACTTCATGACATCTATAAAAATAATTAGTACTGCTCAATAACATCAATATCATCACCAAGATCCTGCCTACAATAGGCACTGGGAGGGGAAAAACTTGAATCAGACCAAACCTTTAGCTTTCTGCACACAGTGACTGCTCCCAAACTCAAACTCACACTTGTCAGACCAAGCTTTTACCATTGCACCAAGCAACGGCCTCCTCTCAATATCATCAACATAAAATTCAAAATAATTTAAATGCACAAACCTTTTTTTGTTTTTTGGACTAATTTAAAACTTCAGAAAGTTTAGCATACGTGATGAGAAAACTAATGCATAAGAATTGGAAGATAAGGTTACTTGGTTTAATGTATGTTCATGTTCGTTATTGAAGAAATTTGTCTCGCGCTTTCCTCCAACAGAATCAATCTCATCAATAAAAATGATTGATGGTGCATTATTCCTTGCTTCTTTAAAAATATCTCTAACACGAGCTGCTCCTGTTCCAACGAAAATCTCTGTAAATTCACTGGCAGAAGTAGAGTAAAATGGTACTCCTGCTTCTCCAGCCACTGCACGGGCTAGTAATGTTTTTCCTGTTCCTGGAGGACCCGACAGCAGCACACCTTTTGGTAACCTTGCTCCCAGTTTTTCATAGTTAATAGCTCCTTGCAGGCATGAAACCATCTATAAACAAGAAAAAACATCACTACATGGTCAAATGAAAGATTAAATTGGACTTGAGCAGTTTGCAACTATAAAGAAAGATAGAAGGTAAACAAACTTCCAAGAATCCTCGCAAAACTAAAACATATTCATGGCACACATGATTTAATGGAAACATATCATAATGCAGAGTGGTAAATTAAAAGAGTAACAGGGAAAAAACAAAAACAAAAAGCACAAAAAATCAGACAAAGAAATTGTTAGAATAGCTATTTTACTCTTGGCATGAGCAATACATCCTAATGCCCATTATAAGAGAAAGTAGAGTTAGGTAGTATAGTCATATACAACACCTATTGATGCACCGGCAAAAAATGGAAGAGATGTTTGTATGGAAGGTAAGAGACAAAGGGGCTGACTAAAACCCACACGAGGTTAAGTAATTAGAAATGATCTAAAAAGTTAAATACAATAGGAGACGTACGGAAAAAGATAATTCATGTGACCGAAACCATCCATAAGGGATAAAAGTGATGATGTAATAATATGTGCAAGGACTCCAAGGAAGTTTTCGTAGCACTTGTGAGATGGCTCTTTCATGCAAAAGAACATACTAATAAAAGATCTCAAATCATGTACCCAAAAAATGAAAACAGAAAAAACAAGAAAAAGAAGAGCAGCTTTGTAGGTCATAAAAACTCTATTGTGTATTGGCAAACAAATGTTTTGTTTCTAGCTATAGCTTCATTATGCATTCACTTTACAGCATATTATCAATTCCTTAAATTCCTGGTTGTTACATTAGGAAATAATAATGACTAGTTATCTCTTTAAGGTTTCAGTAGCCTAGTCAAGGGCATCATATTAATATAATGTGTTTGTGTATATATATATATATATATATGATTACTCAAGAACGCATGAGTTTGCTGAAAGAATAATGAAACTACCAAAACTCAAATAATCAATATAATGTCAAGAACAACAATAGCTTACCTCCAAAAGCTCTGCCTTTGCATTATCAACGCCCTGCACATCATCAAATCTAACCGTCTGCTTGCTAGGGCGCCGCTTTGTAGCCGAGCTCTTACCAGTATTAAGTTGAAGATAACAGATCCACAAATAAGGAGCCATGTGAAGCATTTGAAGTAAAATAGTAGTCAAGCCACTCCTGATTGATATAAGCACTGGTTGAGGGGCAGAGCTATATGTAATTCCCTTTTCTTTGATGTAACTTAAAAGAACGCGCTCATCATTTTCTATGATTCTAGTTGAATACTGCCACTCGGGGTTCGAAGCATTGGTCCTTGTCAACATTCTCAAAACCACACCGCCCATTGATTGGTGGTTTTCATTCTCAACAATCCTTTCTTCTGTGTTGAAATATATAATCGGCGATCCCTCCTCGAATTGGACCCCTTCTACCTCACCACTTTCTAGGCTCTTTATCAAGTTCGAGTACGGAACTTGTTTAGAGGATGGCATTGCCTTCAATTTCAGAAAGAAGCAGCACAGCCCCAATGCAACAGAGATTGAGGTACAGACCGCCATTGTTTTCATATTCTTACGCAGAAACGTTTCGAGGCCGTTTAACGCAGGCCCAATAGATATACTCTTCAACTTTCTCAATCTTTCGCTCAATCGTAACGAAAACCTTTTAATTCTCTGATTATCTTCTGTTTTCCCCAATTGGGTTTCTTTATCTTCTGTTTTCCCCAATTGGGTTTCTGTATCTCCACTTTTTTCATCGTTCAGTGCCCTGATTTTGGTGTTGGAATCCAATCTTCGTTCGAACTTTCAGAAATCATGAAACCCTAATTTAGGTGAAGGAACTGAAGAAGATGGACCTCTATATCTACCCAGAGATTTGGATTTTTCAACATGACGACGTCTCGCTAATTCTGCAGTAATCAAGATCCCACTAGCTGGAACAAGAGTTAAAGCAGCCATTATAGGACACTAACCCAGTACTGCTTGTACCTAGAGCGAATTTTTTTTTTTTTAACCAACCTAGAGAGAAAATTGCAAAGCTTATTTTCTTCGATATATATATATATATATATATATATATATATATTCACAAGCAGTGCTTGTATTTTGTAAGGAAAGTAGATTACTTGTACAACAAGAATTGAGTTTAGAATGGACATTGCTTTCATACTAGAATCAAACAATGTTTATGGATGGGCTTTAATCAAAATAAAATAGGGAATAAAAAAGAATACAAGGGATTCTTAATTTATAGAAAGAAAAGAAAATATATATATATATATATATAGATGATTTCGTATTTTCTTTTTTTAAATATGATTTCACAATTAAAGGCTGTCACTTTATTTATAATTTTTTAGGAATGTTTTGGGTTTAGGTTTCGGCTTCGTTTGGTCCTCTTTGGGCCTTTGTTTGGTTGTACGCTTGGGCCTTGTTACTCTCTAGGAGTTTTTCTCTTTTTATAAAGCTTACCCATTTTACAAGAAAGAGAAAAAAAAATAAAAATAAAAAATTCCCATCATCTACTACATATCTGTTTAGTTTGTGACACAATTTTCAAGAATTCAAAAAAATCAAAAACTATTTTCAAACCTTTTTTAATTAAGTTTTTTAAAAATAATTCGTCAACCAAGCAGGTTTTTCCACAATTTTCTGATTTACAGTTCTCAAATGCCACCTCCGTTCCATTACACAAAACATGGTTAAACTTCAAAGTTCAACAGGATCGAAGTTGAAAGCCTTTAATCAGGACAGAGCCCCAAAAACTCCAATTACCCGAAAGAAAAAAAATAAAAATAAAAAATAAAAAATTTGAAAGGCCTTCCAAGACAAACTGAAGTTTACATTGCAATTCTCTAGTTCTCCTTACAGTTGTGAATAATTTTTAAAAGAAACATTGAAATAGTTAAAATGGACTAATAATGTAGATTGAATGACAGATGATCTCTTCAACATCGTACTAATTACACCCTATCGTCTAATTCAATTATGATTTCGATGACACTCTTGGTCTACATATAAATAACAGTTGCAATCATTAGAAGACCAAGTTCCAGTAACATTTTAAGACCCCAAAATAGGTAAAATTTGAAGTATTCATACAAAATGCCAGTTTGGCACCATAAAGGAAACAACAAAGCATTTCCTACTTCTCTAAAGAAAAGTCTCAGCAAAAATTTATAGACAATATATATATATATATATATATATATATATATTCCTTCTCATTTAGATGTCACAACATCCTGAACAAGACTTTGACATATATCCTTTAACAGCACTGAAAAGGAGAACATACTCATCAGCTAAGAGTTTGATAGCCCAGGAGCCCTTGCATTCCATCCCGTCTCGTGTCGCTTCTGCCCATCAGAGATGGCATCCATGGGAATAGTTTACCGAGCTCTTTGCCGATTGAACTAGTATTCGATCGACTATCTTTGATCCCAAACTTTGCTCTCTCTATAGCTTCCATTATATCCTCTCTTGACACACATTCACAGCCTGTGAAATCGATAAAATGAGACTACAACTAAATTATTTTTTTCCAACGGATTTTGAATAGAAGAAACTAGAGTACGAAGAGTTAATAAAGGGAATGCAAAATGAGAACTGAAATGTGTGGACGTGAAGTTGTAGTATTCGATGCCTGACATCTATAGGTATGCTCAACAACTGAGTTATCTAACATTATACACATATATGCACACATACATATACGTATATGATGACCATATTTAGAGTCAGATAAGGCAATTACACAAACTACAATTTAGATTGCATTACTGTAGGTAACAATAATGGAGTAAATACACGGAGATATCAACTAACCTCTACGAGCAGCAAGTAAAGCAGCTTCATTGATGATGTCTGCAAGGTCAGCACCTACAAAGCCTTGGGTAAGAGATGCAATTAGGTTGCATATGAGGTCGATGTCTTCCTCAAGAGGAACTCCTCTCAAATGTACAGCTAAAATCTTTCTCCTTCCATCTTCATCTGGTTCTCCCACAAGTACTTTCCTTGAGAAGCGGCCAGGGCGACATAGAGCTGTATCCAACGCTTCTGGCCTATTAGTTGCAGCAATAACAATCACCTTCATGTCCGAGTCAAAGCCATCCATTTCTGTCAGCAACTACAACAACGAAAAGAGTTGTGAGAGCCCATTAAAAGCATGAAATTACTATACAGAACAACAAAACACACTCAGACCAGAAACCATTACTTAAGGAGTAACAAACTTCGAAAATTGATCAGGAAAATTATTGTTAACCAGAGAAAAGTCAGTGGTAACAAAATTTACATTCAAAGGCGGGAACGTTTCATCCCTACAATAGAATTATTTATTATTGTTGTTGTTGTTGTTGTTCTTTGGCTAATTATGGGGATATCACAACAAAGACTTTTAGGGGGCATTACTACCCTCGAAATGGTTTGGAGATGGCATTGTGGGAATTGGGTTTTTCTAGGGATTGGACTGTGACCTTTTATTGTTTGTTTCAATGCAATCCTTGACACCATATTTACTTTTTTACTTTTTCTTCTTCGGGGTAGGTAGCATTTTTCAACCCTCTTTCCTTAACCATGTATCTATTTATTCTATTTAAAATATTGCTTCCTACAATAATTTGCAATAATGTTTAACAGATATTATCATTCTAAAATTCTGTTGGGTGATTCAGTAATTTCAGCAAAAATTCATGACATCCATGAAAATATAACCGCTCAATAATATCAATATCATTACCAAACTCGAAACAGACCAAACCTTTACCATAATTCTGTACAAAGTGACCGCTCTCAAACTCAAACTCACCCTCACGCTTTTCAGCCCAATCTTTTACCATTGCACCAAGCAATGACCTCCTCTCAATATCATCAACATAAAATGTAAAATAATATAAAATGAAAAAAAGTTTTTGGACTAATTAAAAACTTCAGAAAGTTTAATGTACTTGATAAGAAAACTAATGCATCGAAATTGGAAGACAACGTTACTTGGTTTAATGTCTGGTCTCGTTCATCATTGAAACTTCTCCCACGCTTTCCTCCAACAGCATCAAGCTCATCAATGAAAATGATTGATGGTGCATTCTTCCTTGCCACATTAAAAAGGTCTCTAATACGAGCTGCTCCTCTTCCAACAAATAACTCCACAAATTCACTGGCAGAAACAAAGAAAAATGGTACTCCTGCTTCTCCAGCCACTGCACGGGCTAGTAATGTTTTTCCTGTTCCTGGAGGACCCACCAGCAGCACACCTCTTGGTAACCTTGCTCCTAGTTTGTCATAGTTAATAGCTCCTTGAAGGCATGAAACTATCTATAAACAAGAAAAAACACAAGTACGTGGTCAAATGAAAGGTTAAATTGGACTGCAGTAGTTTGCAACTATAAAGAAAGATAAAAGTAAACACACTTCCAAGTGGACACAAAGCTAAAACATTCTCATGGTATGCATGATCTAATGGGAAAATGTCATAATACAGACAGTTGCAAGTTAAAAGAACAATAGAAAGCAAACAAAGAATTTGTAAGAAAAACTTTCTTGTTTTTCTTTTTTTCTTTTCTTTCGAATAAGTTTAAGAATAGCTATTTTACTCTTGACTTGAACAATTTATCCTAATGCCCAGTAAACCACCTTGGTATGTATAGAAGGGTAAAGCGCAAAAAAAGCCCAGCTACAAAAAAAAAAAAAAAAATGGTGCAGAAACCTACCCTGGTGTGACAACACCACCCCTTACATTTTAAAATAGTGGAATAACGACACTCCTTCACCTTGCCGTTAATGGAGCAATTCATTGTCAAAAATACCCTCACTATGAAAGAAAAGGAAAAAAGAAAAGAAAAGAAAAAAAGAAGAGGGATTCAATGAAATGACTAAAATGGATATTTCAATCCTTTCCTTCCTTGCTCGAATATCCATTTCTTGCATTTTTCTTCTCACTCTCTCTCTCTCTCTCTATACACACACACACACACACACACACACACACGTGCGCACACATACATATCAAACTCAAACCTTAGTTCGAATTCGTTGCTTCATCATTCAATCAACTGTGAGCTCTTCCAATGGCTGCATCTGTAGTAGATGCAGAATACCTCAAGGAAATTGAAGACTCGTAATGACTTTTGTGCTTTCATCTGCAGCAAAAACTGCTACTATCATGCTTTGTTTGGCATAATTTTCCTTCTCTTCTTCAATTTAACTCAGTGTTTCATTTATTTTCGTCTGATTTTCTATCTTCAGTTACTTGATTCTCATGCTTGTAATTGATCTATTGGCATTTATGGACATTATGTCGTGTAATTGTTATTTGGTCTAGAGTCTCATTATTAATGAATTCTCTCTCTCCTCCATATATATTTATCCATTTCTCTTTATTTGTTGTACATAGGTTCTCAAATTTTAGGTAATTTTTTAGTGTATTGACTATATTTATGCTTTTAATTGTATAAAAATAGTGATTCACAGAGGCTAGATCATGTTACTTGTTGCAGGTGGTATGGTGCGGGAACTTATGACACCGGAACGAAGACTGGGGACCTGATGGTTTGAGCAGGAACGACAAACTGTACAATCAAAGCTTAAATAATGGTTTGAAGATAGCAATTGATCATTACAGTGTTAAGAGGAGGATATTGATTGTGATCAATTGGTGTTACATGTGTAAGAATGATGAGGAAACGGTTGATCACCTTCTTTTGTATTGCCCAGTGGCTTGGAATTGCTGGATTTTGTTGTTAGGTTTGTTTGGGGTTCAGTGGGTTATGCCCAGGTCCTCCAGAGAATTGGAGAGGTTGTATAGTGGGGGCCCAAGTACGGGATTTCTGAAGTGTTGTGCCTTTGTGCTTCTGGTGGTGTTTATGGCTTGAAAGAAATAGGAGATCCTCAAAGGAAAGGAGAACCCTATTAGGACGTTAAAGTTCTCCATTATTAGCACACTTTTTTGTTGAGTTCTAGGCTATGTTACATGGACTCGGGTACGGGTGTCGGACACGGGTATGTATCCACGTGTCGGACGTGTCAAATCTCCAAACAGAAGGACACATGGACACAGCTAAATATTCATTTTATTAATTATTTTATTTTATTTTCTAGAGTAAAGTAACGTTTTTATCTAATATAATGTTTAATATAGGCATTTAACTCTTTTTAAAGTAATAATATAATGTAATTAAATGATTGGATATGTTTTTTAAGTGCATGTCCAACCAAAAATGTCAGACATATATCCCATACCAATGTCCGAGGGATATGTGTCCGACACAGGTATTTCATTACTTTTGAAGAGTCCATGTAACAAAGGTTCTAGGGAGAAATTGTAAATCCATGGAGGATATTGTTGATTTTTTGGACTCGTTGAGAGTTTAGAGGTCCTATTTGGACTTCTGTAGCTTTTGAGGGATGCGTTCCCCTTTTGAACGCCTTTTTAATGCAAATATTACTTATCAAAAAATAAATAAAAATTCATTATAGTAAGCTTTTACTCCCTAACCATAGGGATTGATGTTGTAGAGAGAAAAAGTGCTGCTTTAGAGAGAGGCTGTACAAAGAGAAAGAGCTTCTGTCGAGCGAGAGAGATGCTGCAGAAGATGGAGGAGGCTTTTAGGGACATTTTTGTCACACAAAGCGCAATTTCGGGTTTTCAGTATGACTTTATGTCAGAAATGATGTTAGTAGCTAGTTACTAGTGTTCTAACGGGATTGGGGGGGGGGGGGGGGGGGGGGGGGGAGGTGCCGCTACGTGCACTGTTGCATGAATTATATGCACATACTTAACAGTAGAGGTTTCCGTGCATGTTTTTATATAACCAGCCGCGCCCGGCTCTGTACCCTATATAGAATAATGAATTACATGTTTATATGCTTACCACAAAATTGCAGATCCCATGGCAACAAAAAGAATTATAACACACTTAAAAAGTATTTCGAGATTTATATATATGTAATCCTGAACTGATTTATATTACTAGAACTTTGAGATCATTTAAGTTTAAAGCATTTGGGCACCTTAATTTTCACAGTCAACAAACACGAACAATCAACCCAATTGGATTTAGTAGTACACACATGACACAACTAAAAGCAATTTTGTGAATTCTGCATTACTGGTGAATATCAACATATGCCAGTAGGGTATGGATGTCAAGGAGCTTCGGAAAATCTTTACACACGTAAATATCCTAACCAGAGCACGACCTGGACTTTGAAAACCAAAGCCTGCTGCACAAATAGGGCTCTGGTTTCAGAGGAAACATCATGAGACCATATATGTAGGATGCACAAATGCATATGTTTACAATCGCTTACAGTCCAACTGATGGTTTTAAAATTCAAAACAAGCAACTTCGGCAGTAGAAAGATGCAGAATTGGCCTCGTGCATCCTTCACTTTTCAAATCAGAACATGACCTTTCAAAACCACCAGAGAGGTGGCTGTTCTTAAAACTTAACCATTGTCTGAATTAAGCTGGAAAATGACCGAAATATCTCAAGATGCAAACCGAGGTGCTTTTTTTACACCACCTAAGAGTTAACCATGCAGGCATTATATTGCCTGCACTAACCAATGCCCCTAGGTAAAACTTGCAAGCCTAAAATTACATAAACCTAGACATTATGCTCCCAACTTGATATGGAGTACAACTTTTCCTCGTCAACAATACATGTTAGATTCTCATTGACGCAGCACTCGTCTGCATATCTTTTTTTTCCTTCTTCTTCTTATCAATGCAACACTCTTCTGCGGATCTTTTTTTCCTGCTTATTTATTTATTTATTTTCCTAATAAATAACCCTTGTTTGATTCAGGGAAAAATAATAATAACACTAGTTTTCACACATTTCCAATCATTTCAGAATCTTACCAAAGAGCTATGTTACATGGACTTCGGTAAAAGTATCGGGTGTATGTATGTGTCCAAGTGTCGGACCTCCTTGAATCACAAACATTAGAAAACAGGAAAATGTGTCAAAAAATTGGGCACCTACCAGGCATTTAAATACATATTTTTTTTTTTTTTTTTTTTGATAAGTCAGGCATTTAAATACATATATTCTAATGTATGATGTAATTATTCTTTCAGGTCATTCTTTATGCTATAATCAATTAGAGAAGTTAAGTTAAATGGGATGTGGTGAAAAAAGAGGTTCAAATCCATCTCACAAGTAGGAAACCCTTCTCTGCCAAAGTTGAGCTTCTTATTTTTACGTCATAACATTCGGAGAATCAGAGTGTCCAATCAGTTAGCAGAGATATGAAAGCCTAGAATCATGGATGAACTTACTATATTAGCCGATATATGATAGCCTAGAATTATGGAATTTGACTTTATTTATGCATATATTTAGGCACAGAATATGCAGTGATTTTATTCAGTTTCCTTTCTTATAATATTAACATGTGCTCTTTTAGTATATAAAGGCTAGTGTTGTGAATGAGTGTTAATCTCATTCAAGCCTTGGAATATTTCTCTTGTATTTATTCTTGGTATTAGAACCAGACCCAACCCTTAATCCAGTATTACGCCAGGTGCCTGCCCGGGAGGTGTCGAGTAGGTAGAGTGGTACAACCGCAACAAGGGCATTGCGAGTTCAGGTTTTGGGGGGGGGGAGGGGGGCGGAATTTGAAGTTCTTGTCCCACATCGGATTCGGATGGGGAAGGTCACGGGCTAATATGGGTGGGTATGCAACACTACCCAACAGTTTAAGCTTTTGGGTGAAAGGGCAAGCACCCAAAAAAAAAAAAGGTCTGTATTTGGATTTTTCAAGAATGGTCCGAGGAGACATTATTGATTGTTTATGGTTTGAGGAGACATTGTTGATTCTTCCATCGACATATTTTAAACATGTGTATGAAGGGGAATGGTCGGAAGAAACATTGTTGATTGTTTATGGTCTTGAGTTAGATAAGACATATTCACAGTGGTTTGGAGATAACCCTATGGTTATGTCTTGGCTAGTCAATTCAATGCAGCCAAACATAGTCATTGGCTATATGTTTATGAAGACCTTATTTGACGATGCATTGTTCAACTTGGGCGACTCTGATATCCATGCAACTTGAGGGGAGTGTTAATAGCCCGAGATATGATAGCCTAGAATGATGGAATTTGGCTTTAGTTACACGAATATTTAGGCATAGAATATGTAGTGATTTTATTCAATTTCCTTTCTTGTAATATTATTAACATGTGCTCTTCTAGTATATAAATACCATAGTTGTGAATGAGTATTAATCTTATTCAAGCTTTTACATATATCTCTTGTATTCCTTCTATTTTGTACTTCTTCTCTTATAACACATACGTCATCTC